AAGGAGCCGACATTCTGTCCGTTCCTTCACTGCTGTCTATGTCTCCTTTCTCTGAATTTTATGGAATACTCCCTCACGTTATGAGAACGACGTTCTAACGCCTCAACAAACGGCTATGGATGTAAAATAAGTCCTGATAAAATATTACATGAGAAAGTAAAGAATGAGACACCCCGGCACAGTCTAGAAAGTGGAAGCTTCTGCCGAGAAGCGGACACTAAGCTTTTTCTTCCACGTGGACGCGGCGCCCCCTCCGCGGGCGAAGTACGCATGCGCTCCAGAGTGTCGGTAGGCCGTCATAAAGGGCGGGTTCGCGCGCCCTCTTGTGGCCAGCGGCGAGCAGTGCTCAGACGACGGCCGCCTGCTGAATCACTGGAATTGAATTTTCCGTTTCATCTAAATTATCTAAACTTGTGGGCGTACATTGTCCACAGCACTCTCTTATAACATCTTTTATTTGCGTAGAATCTATAGCAATGTCTTCACTTTGTATCCTATTTTGATTACTTTGTGTTTTTCCTCTTTTTCTTGGTCAGCAAATGTTAACCTCAACTTCTCCATCATCCGGCCTTTACTTCCTTTGATGGTACAGACCGAGCCCTGCCCGTGTCGTGCCTGTCGAGGCGTCTTGTTCCACTGTCTCCATTGCTGTCTGAAGGTAAAGAGCTCCCTCCGGTCTCCCACACCCCTTCCACTTTGACCTTACTCCTCCGTTATGTGGTCCTTGTTTCCGAGGTTAAATGAGCCCAGTTCTGTAACAAGCCCCTGCAAGCAGCCTCAGCCTGCGGAGGACAGCCCCCACTGTGCTTCCCTGGGATGCTGCTGCCCCTCCCACCAGCACATTCTGTATCCCAGCAGCGGGTCTTCTGGCCTCCCAATGAAACAGAGCTGGTACATTTTCCAGCCTTACATCCTCTGCCTGTCCTGGATTGCTCACTTCTCTGAGTCTCTTAACACCTTTTTTTCACTGCTTTCCAAGCAATTCTGGCATCTCTGTTCAGGGTGGAGCCATCTATTATTCTAGGCCTCCAAAAGCCCGTCTAGCAGTGTGTTAGCATCTCCTGGCATCCTCGCCAGAGTGTTCGAATCCTTATCACAGGAGTATGCACCTTTTCAATAAACTCTCCAGGACTCAGCTGTATGTTCTGCACTCCCTGCTCCAGCATTCTGGGGATTCAGACCCCTGTACCCCTGGTTCCTACCGATACAGACTGGCCAGGGCCCA